TAAATATAAAACCGACACAAAGGATTCAGATCTTAGATTATTAACAACAACTTAGTAATAAAATTGATGAAATTGAAAACTCGTGACTAAAATACATTTTAGGTATATTTTGAAGATATGTCGTTTGGAATTGAGTTGAATGTGTCATTAATTTGAAGATATGGATCCACAAAACTTCTTATAATCATTTACATTGTATTTTTATGCTTTACTATCAAGGATTCTAGAGTTCTCAGTGGCAAAATCATTCACAGGCACTAATCAAGGAATTTGAATGAAATTGATCAACTATAAAGACATGATACATGGACCGTGAGACTCAGGGAATAGCAGTGTGGTCCATAGCCAATCCCATGCATGATGTACCAGGAAGTTCATCAAGATTTTGCATCTTTTTTTTGTTTCCTTTTACAATTAAAATCTTTGCATCTTTTGTTGGTCAAACTCTTCGTATGTCCAAAGCAATTGGGATGTGGGTTGGCAATGAACATAAGGCCCAATAATCTATAAAGAAGGCCCAAATATAAGTAACACGAAATTTACATGTTACATATTACATTACAAGAGTTGCAAAGTAACAAAATTTGACAAATAAATCTCTAAACACATAAAATACGCCTAACCTCCTAACTCTAATGTTACAAACGAATTGATTTTAGTGTATTCTGAACTATATTATGTGTATTCAGAGAAGCAGGGACAAAACATCCAACTTTAAAGCTCATTTCCAGTTCCCATCATCACAAGGAGAGCAACCATCTTTTGCAATGTCACTGATTTGAACTTTTGTGTCATATATCACCCCAGGTTTCCAGTTAGCAGGGAGCACATTCTTTGCCCAAACCGTCTTCCCATCGTACCCGGCCGTCACCAAGAACCGGAACTGTAGGTCCCCTGCCGGAACCCTACTCGTGTCCCAGATTGCCCCATTGTTTCGAGTCAGGAAACTCCAATTTGAAGAACCGACCTGAGCAACATCAATGGCTACTATTTCTGTCTGACCACCTTGATACAGAATTTTGATTGCTAAGTAATGTGGCTTTTGGCTCGATTCTTCCACACGCAAGGCTAGATTTTGGTTTTTGTATTCACATGGTACCCTGTCACACACAAAATGAAAAAATAATCAGAACAGAAACAGTATAGTTTTATTTTCTTTTTGGGTACATTTTTTACCGTTACTAGCATTAATGTGATTGGGTTTTTTTTTGTCTGGAGGGACCTAGTATTTAAACGTTGGTCCACAACACAAATG